AGATCATTTTTCGAGCTTGACAGCATTTTTCACACTCTCTTCCAACTACCAATAAGTACAAACCGCTGATTCTTTTCCTCTGAAATTTTATTTGGACTCTGGCTTCTATTAAAATTTTATTATGAATTTAACGGGTTCATACTCTCCTAAGGGAATGCAATTCCTGTACGAAGCTGTATCGGGCTGTTCTAAAAATTGCAGGGTTATAGCGAATGACAGAGAACGCGATCTCTATCATTTAGCGTTATCGTAGTTTCTTTGATCGCCAATGATCCTGGATCGATCGTCTCTCAGACAAGATTGCACACGATCCGCAATAACAACAACAAGGGCGTTAACACAAGCGACTCGAGTAATCATAAATAAATTAAGTTTAATTGCTAAGTAATAAAACGTTAATTACATATGTCAATGATAATTAATTTAAGTTTACAACACACGTCTCGTGCAAAAGTGTAAAGAACGTTTGTCTTTTTTTTTCTTTTTTTCGTGCTACACTCAATACCATTGTTGTCTTTTGTTTTTTTTCTTGTTACGACTTATTGTTGCGTGAATGTGTGTCCGCGCACGTGTGTGTCTTTGTCGTGTGTGTGTGTGTGTGTGTGTGTGTATGTGTTTAATGATTTCTCGACTACATAAGCTCTTGGTAAAACGTAGTAACATTGTAGTTTACAGTAGTTTACAATCCCCTCTCCTCGCGGCCCCCGATCGCGGATGCGTATATGTGTGTGTATGTGTTTCTATTACATAATTACACATCTATCTCGGTATCACATGCCGGGATCGAATCTTCGCCCCCGTTCCGGCGCGTTTCATTTTTTTTTTCAGATCGTCGGAGGATCCGCCCCCGCGTACGACGGTTCTTCCGAAAAAGAGGGTAGTTGAACCTCCCCCGGCCCTCATCAATCCACGCGGAAAAGTGGATTGAACCGAAAGGGGTCCGTACAGCACAGATTTCCAAGGAAATGGCTCAAGGATGTCCAGCAAATGTCCTATGTACTGAGAACGTCCTCAGGATATTCTCAGAATGTTCTCAGGATGTCCCTCAGATGAAGTGTGCTGCGTGGGGAGGGGGAGGGGGAATTCGCGC